TTCAAAAATAATAATGATATCAAAACTTTCCCACTGATTCCCAAATCATTGACATTTTTAAAAGTTGTGGCATTATTGGATACATGAAGTTTCTGGTTGAAGCCAACGAGCTGAACACACAGCTGCTTTCCTAGGATTGACAGTTGATAAAAGGCAGAAGAAAAGCTTATAATTAAATGGTTTCCAATAACTAATGGTTTTTGTGGGATGAACAACTGCAACTAGATTACTATAGAACTTCTCAGATCAATCTAAACTTGGCAGTGACAATTTTATGCCTTTCAACTACCTGCCCAAATGACCCTGTATGAAATAGATTTCCATTAAAGGTATTAGCAGATTGATCATCTTTGGGGGTGAGAGGTATTTGCAGATTGATCAGTTCTGGATATTGAACCTAGTGTCTCTCCATTGAGTTACATCTTACCCCTTTTTATTTTTTGTATTGAAGCAGGCTGTCACTAACTTGCCCAAGCAGGACTTGAATTTATGGTCCTCCTGTCATAGCCTTCCAAGTTGTAGGATTATAGGAGTGCACCACTGTACCTGGCTTTATTGACTTTTATGACTGTAACATTTTAGCAACTGACATAGTTTGCATGTGGAGTCTCTTCCAGAGATCTATACCTTAAAGACTGGTCCTCAAGGTGGTGTTACTGGGAGGCAGTGGAACTTCTAGAAGGTGAGGTACAATGGAAGGTCCTTTGATCTCTGGGCCTTATGCATCATGGGATCTTGGCTTCTTCCTTTTTCCTCTTGTTTCCTGGTCATGAGCAGAGCAGTTTGCTCTGTCACTTGCACTCCACCCCTCCATCTAGTACATCCAGCAAATTTCTAAAGCAATAAGTTCATCTGGGCATACACTGGAATCACCAAAATTGAGCCAAAATAAATACTTTTTTCTATTTGTAAGTTAATTTTTTTAGTTATATTGTCACAGTGACAGAAAGCCGATTGATATACCAACATTTTATTATGAGAACTTGCAAGCCTATAGAAAATTTGAAAGGACTTTATCCCCAAACTATTATGTCTATTGTTTAGGTAAATGTTACATAATTAAACATTTTATTGTATGCTATTATTCGTTTCCATCTACCCATCCCTTTATCTATTCATCAATCCAATTGACTATATTAAACTATAAAATCAATAACCAATAGTCAGTCGAAAAAAATTAGAAATTTTTTACTTTATCAAAATTACTTAATGAAATGAGCAGTGATATTCATTGTTGCATTCAATAAATATTTCTGGGGTTCCTGGTTTTAGGAGAGGCTGCAGATATAAAATGAAAATGATGTAAAATGAGACTGCCCAGGCTACTAGCCTCCTTGAACTCAAAATATAGTAGGCTCTTTTTTATTTGTAGAGACAAAGAAAAAAGAAAGTACTCAAAAAATACTCTCTAAAACATGATATGTGTAATAGATATGTCAATAAAGATTTGGCAGATTTAGCTGTTACTCTTTGTAATTTAAAGGTTGTAGACTGGGAGGGTGGCACATGCATGCAATCCTAGCTCTTGGAAGGCTGAGGCAAGAGAAGTGATGTGGGTTTGAGACCAGCATGAGCTACAAAGTGAGTTCAAAGCCAGCCAGAACTATATAGCGAAATCTTGTCTCAAAAAGAAAAAGAAAAAGAAAAAGTTGTAATAATAACAAATGGATGTTTTGTGTACTATTATATTATTGCCTGTAATAAAATCCACATATGAAAGTGGATTAAAAAATAATATCCATCTCTGAATGTATATTTGGTAAATTACTGAAAAAATGAATAAATTTTAAACCTCATAATGGAAGCATCATTTAAAATGTTTCACATTAAAAAACAGTCGCATTTACAAGAGTGACCTGAAAAGCAAATAAATAAAGTAGAAAGTCAGATTAATAACCTTCTCTTTAATATTCTATACAAAAATATTTTTGAGTAAACTATTCTAAGGATTTTTGTAGTTCTTATAAATAGTATGCTAAGTTTTAACACATTTGCACTTGTACAAAATGCAAATTAAATAATTTTCATATAAAGTTAAATAGCTTCACAAATAAGATAAAGAGTATTTCAAATTAGATCATGGCTATCGCTTAGTATCAGTGAAGCTACTATGTAAGTCGGTATTGTATAAATGAGACACTTGTGTTAAAAACAAATTGCTAAAGTATTCTCAAGGCGAGTGGAAAAAAAAATAAAAAAATAAAGTATTCTCAGACTGACAAACCAATGGGATTGGGAACATTTGTTTGTACATATTGGTGTGATGGGGAAGACAGGTTATAGAAACACTGGGTTAAATCTTTTTACTTCATAGATTAATTTATACATATCATGGTTACTACTGCCAAATATTTGAGAATAAATAAATTAAAAACAATTTAAATTCAGACATAGTGTGCTAAAGTGGCATAGTAGTAATGTCTCAAAAATTTTTCCTTAGAAAAAGTCTGATAGAATGTATATATAGATAGATAGATATAGATATAGATATAGATATAGATATAGATATAGATATAGATATAGATATATCTTGTGTGATCCATACCCTTTACAACACAATTTACCTCTGCTATTACCATTGTTTGTGGCATCATATTTCCTAAAGGGTCTACTTGCATGGAAGATATAATCCAGGTAAAATAATGAAATAGCTATGATATAGTTAACTCTTGATCATATTTTCTACCTGATTCTGTTTGGTTTCACTAGGAATTCTATGGGCCTCATCTTTGAGCTAATTCAGAAGTTAAAGCTATGCTTTACTAAAGAAAACTGCCTCTTATCAAGTAAAATGTCATTCAAAGAATTTTTTTGTTTCTTTTTTCTTTTTTTTTTTTTTTTTCAGCACTAGGGATTGAACACAGGACCTTGCATTTGCCAGGCAGGCGCTTATTCTACTGAGCTATCTCCCCAGCCCCTCAATGAATTTTAATTTAGTGATTAATTAAATCTTTACTCACCAACTTTGCAATTTAATCTTAACATTTAACTTTCCTTTCAATGGGCTCTACTTCTTATCTCAAACAATAAATGGATAAAAAACACAGAAAACAGTTTGCATAATTAATAAAATATATAGAAATAGTTCGTAGAATGCTGAGAATTTAACAATAAAAGAAAGCTCTTCCTAAGAGAAACAAATAGTGTACTACTGGCTCACTTCCTGAAATACTTAGCTCGGGGACTAGACCTGCAGGTAGAACCCGGTGGAAGGAGATGGTGCTCAGCATCCAGAAAAACTAAAGAAAGCTAGCCTCTGTACAAAATGTGCTAGAAAGAAAAGTCTTGGAGAGGGAAAGGTAGAGTAGTTCAGGGGATTCCCCCCACTGTCCAACTGAGTACTGATCAGTGTATGAGTTAACATACACTGAGTTAACAACAGGGATCAACCCAGTTAATACTGGGTTAGCCAGTATTAACCCAGGACTGCGAGCTATGACAATTTCCACTAGTCAGGAAATCCATGAGCTTTTATGAGAAAAGCCAGAAGTTTTCGTAAGCTAAAGAGCAAAGAACAATTCCTTCACCGTAAGTAGAATAATTGGCTTTAAAATGAACATGAGCCTTTTTCCGTGTAAGAAATTTTAAAAGACTCAAAAGAATTTAGCTTATTCTAAGCAACTTACCTAATTGCAAAACAAAGTTCAGGAAGATTTAAAGGAATGCAAAAATAACTAGCACCCAGCCAGGTAAAATTCACAGTGTAGCACATTTAATGAAAAATTATCAGGCTTGCAAGGAAACAGAAAAATACAAGCTATATAAAGGAAATAAACAAACAACCAAAATTGAACTGGAACAGATACTGATGTTAGAATTAGCGAAAGTGAGGTAACCCATTATTCTAACTTTAGTCCATGTACTTGAAAATTTAAATAGATATTTTAAAGACCGAAACTAAATTCTAGGAATTAAAATCTACAGAGTGTGAAGTGAAAATTACATCAGATAATTGACAGCAGATTACATATTGGGGAAAAAAAGATTAGTGAAATTGGAAATTAACTAAAATTAGAAAAGATAATTATAATGGACTGAGCATTATCAAGCTTGTGTAAGAGCTTCAATATGTTTAAAATGCTGAAAGGATAGATGACAGACTAAACATATTTGAAGAAATAGCCAAAATCTTACAAATTTCATAAAACCTGTAAGCCTCCAAACTGAAGTAACTTAATGAACACCAAGTGTGGAAAAGCATATCGTGATAAAACTGATCAAAACTATTGATAAAGAGAAAACCCTAAAGGCAAAGAAAGCACACACGTTAAAACTAGGTTGTGATAACAAAATTTACAACAGAAAGAGCAGGAGAGAAGGTCCTGAAATGGGAGGAAGGAAGGAGAGAGGGAGAGAGGGAGAGAGGGAGAGAG